GGACGCGGCGGCCCTTCCGTTCGGCTGCCCTCGACTTCGGTTCGTTCATCGATCCACCCTTTCGCTGGAGAACTTCGTGCGTTTCCAGTTTCTACAACATATTTTAACCATGGGTGGATGGTCGAAATAACCTATGTCTAGAAATGAAATTCATGGTGCAAGCAGGAGGTGAGCAGATCGTCGGATGTCAGCTTCGAGGAGTTCGGCTCTTCTTCCAAACATGATCCGTTTAGGACAAAAAGTAATTCACTCATTTGGATTTTGAAAGATGTCAACTCAGAGGTTGGGAACGCCGATGGACCACGCGATGACTGACGGATTACGCAAGACTGACGACTGAGTTCTCAACAGAACCTTTTTTGAACAGCCTTTGAAAACCTTTGGGATCGGAATTGCACACGAGATGCAAGGAGTTCATAGTGGACTCTTACCCACAAAAGTAGAATAGGGCAAATCAATATATCACGAAAGCTAGCACCAGCTAGCTGGAGTTGTCCTTGCTTTAGCAAGTGAGGGGCTGGAATCCTCGGGATCGCCGCATCACGTGAAAACTTCATATGTAGGGGGGGGGCCCCCCCCTGTGGGTTCAACTCCCCCCTCGGACGCGTCTGGGACACCTCTCGGGCATCTCTTATGGCATCCACTTTGGCTTAACTCCTCCGGGATACGGTGCAACAGATTCAACAAACTCACATGTTCATGACATCGACATCGATAGAAGAAACCAAACAAACCATGCAAGCAGCTTTGTTTTGCCTCTGGGACACCTCTTGGGCACCTCTTATGGCATCCACACTGGTTCAACTCCTCCGTGGAGGTTTTGGGATACGGTGCAACAGATTCAACAAGCTCACAGGTTCGTGAACACATCGGATGCATCGAACAGTGTGGCAAAGTCCAGCCACGCTTCCTTAATTATCGGGGACTTCAATTCTAAGGTTGGCTGTGTCATTGCTGTTTGTGTGTCTTACATGTTCACAACGTTTTACCTCATGAGCATTTGCCTCACTCCGCTTGATGTCCCACCAGTCCGGATGCACCCCTGCTAGCTTTCGTCACCTACCCTCGGCCTCAAGTATATATATATATATACATATCTATCCCGTTGCCAGGGCCCGGTGGATGATGATCATTAGTGAAGGCCTTTCTCTTGGAATGGTGATAATTGTTTACCGACTGACTTGATTGTGTCCAACTCCGCAACAGACTGTTTTATGCCAGAGAATGCAACTGTGCAAGACCAATTACAAGAAACAACCAAATCAAAGCACAACATATTTGGAAGGACATGTTGTACGAAGAATTAACTCATGTTTGCCTTCAACTCACCAACATTTGATTCACCCTCACTCAGAAGTGCCATGGTGAAGAGGGTGAACATGACATGTTCTTTACCAGCAACATCCCAGCAAGTCAAAAGACAAGCACGTCGTGCAACCGCGTCGTTGCTGTCCTCCGATGGCCTGTGACGTGCGCTGGGGCGACTTGTCGCCCAGTTGGGGCCGAGGAGGACATGGCGGCCATGTGACCTTCGCCGTCTCCACGAAGAGTGAGAAGAGCGTGAAGAGCGAGGAGGACGTTGGGACGTAGGCAGTTCGGACGTTGGCAGTTGCCGGGGGGTTGGAGGACATGCAGCGAGGTTTGGCTGGGCGATGTGTTTGGGTGGTTTTGGGTGGATCGGTGTCAGTTGATCATTTGCCACACAGAAGTTGGTTGCAGACTCCCTGAACATCAGCAGTGCTGTTCTGCCATTGCAGCTGCATTGCAGCCACGCCAGAAACCATGAGGAGCAATCACCCAAGACACGCTCTGAGTGCTGGGAAGCCTTTCAAGTGCAAGTACGCTTAGCTCAGGCGGGTGACCTGGCGGGTGCTGCAGACACCTCTTTTACAGACATCTCAAGTCTCAATACGCGTGTTTTCACGATGAAGACATTTCCCAAAGCACTTCTACTCGGTGAGGGCACAAGTGTGAAGGCCTCCAGTCGGCCCAATGTGTTCTAGAAAACGGAACAAATATTGACCAATGGTGTAAGCTGAGAAAACGGACTATGATGGGTTGGTGCATTAGGCCATGAGGCCATGCTTTGCTTTTGCTATTTCTTTGCTTCGTCCAGAGGCAACCCAGTGCTTTGTGTTTTCCCACCGGCGTTTGGATGGAGCCTTGGACGTCAATTTCGCTGAAAGCCAGCTGAAAGGCTGTTGGCTGAATAACTTGGAAGGTCCTTTCCCTGACTGGAGAAGAGGGAACTCCAGTCTGGCACTGTGTTGGGAGTGGGTAATTCTTTGCCATTCATTCTGTTTCAAGTCAAGGTTTGTTACATGTTTGGGTTCTCTCCAGCCCATGCATTTACCATCTCCCACAAATGCCTCCAATTGCTTTTTTGTAATGCTGGTAAATCGCTGAAGGCATCACCTTTTAGCCGCAACAAGTTACTCTCAGGTGTGGCATCGAGTGCTTTGACCAAGTACTTGCAAGAGGACCTACCGCGTGCGGCGTGCACAGCGGGGGCCTGCAGGGACAAAGCCCGAGGCCAACATGCGCATGGAGCGGATAGGAACACGATCCGGAGAAGGTCCGGAAGAGTCCCAATCTGGGAGGATTCTGAATCAAGGGCCCAATATTTCATTCTAGAGGCCTTTCGTCAGTCACATTCTGCAACTTGGGTGGGTAAGAGGTCGAGGGGTTCTCCTCGCTGATCTAGATCATGATTAGGCCAATTAGGTCTGGTTTTGCTCAGAGGTTGCCACGCTGGAAAGATCATGTGAGGAACTCACTTCCTGTCAGAACCTATAGTTAATAAGGCACGAAAGAAACAAATACTAACAAATACGGAACCCCTGCATACAAAGAGTTTGTGTCAGCAGGAAGCGACATGTTTCCACATGGATTTTACCGATTTCTTGCGGAGCCAGGACTGTGAAGCACGTTTCCTCGACTTGTCCTTCCTGAAGCGATGGCAGAAGGCCGATTCATTCGATCGCGGTGTCGCCACCAGTCACGACCTCGCGGTCCGTCCGGATCGCCTTACATGTGGGACCGGTGCAGGTGGACAGCTCAGCAGCAGAGGCCTTGGAGCAAGGCAACAGGGCGTTCGCTTTGAGAGGTCATAGAACGAGCAGTTTGGTGTGGATGACTGGGCCTATCTACTTTCTGATGATCAATAGCCGGAGTCGGTAGAGCCCCAGCATATATTATATACTATTATACAGAACAGTCACATGATGACAGTGACGCTTGTGAAGAATCACCGGTCGAAGAGGGGCCTTTCTCCGGGAGACTGGATAAGTGGATATAAGTGGATAAGTTAATTGACACATGTTAACACCCTCATAAGCTACTAGGAACAAGTGCATCGCTTCTAGTAACAGGTGCCTTACTAGTAGTAGCAAGAAGCTATTAGAAACAAGTGCATCGCTACTAGGAACAAGTGCATCGCTTCCTCAGGCCTCCGCAGTGTGCGATCGGTCTCCTTAGATGGCAATGCCATCAACGTGGAGCGCTGGTGCCGAGCGCTTCAGGCTGGGAGTTCAAAGTGGTGAGGTGGTTTCATCACTTCTCACTTCTCAACATGAGGATTTCAATCCAATTTCATCCAGACAACACATGGTGCTTGCGGACACCTGCATGCCTCACTGGCCATCACTGTAAGCCGAAACCTTCTTTCTTCAGATACAGTTTCTTCTCAGCTTGTGCCCAGTCCTCACCTCCGCTTCTGCAAAAAAACACTGTGCCATGTCAATGTCATGTTGGTTTACTAGGGGTGTCGATGCTTTGGCATGTTTAACCAGTCAGTATTTGAGCAAGCCTGCAGGTCTTGAGGCACATAATGCAAGATCTACAGTGTACTGTCCAACACTCCCAATTGACCACTTCTTACATCTCCTTTTGGTCTTGAGGGGACTTGCTGCGGGACTCGCAAAGAGAGAATACTAAAAATCATTGCAAAAAGTCACGAAGTGTACATATATAAGCTTGTCTCTGGCTGTATATCTTGGGGAAAATGTTCAATCCAGGATTCTATCGATCTTATGATCTGCTTCTATGTACCGGAGGATAACTCAACAATTTGGATTCGATCCACGAAAAGCTTCCGATCACATCCCAGGCTCATCCAGGGCTTCAGCACATGTCACTGCAAGAGACACAGCTGGACGACGAAGCAGCTGCACAACTGGCCGAGGCGCCGCCCCGGCTGGGCCGGCTGGGGAGCTGGTTGAAGCCGAACAAAAACCGGATCCGGATTTTGAAGTGATCATAACTGGTGTGTACTTCCTGTGATCACAAGGAACTGGACTAGACAAATTCCGACGAATCCGGATGGTTCTCACAGACAAATAGGGTAACAGAACTGGACTGTGATAGTTCTCACTTGTTCTTACTACTCTGCGATGCAGCAACAGTCGATGTCACAAAGACGGTATCGGCTCCTCAAGCTCCACAAGGACCGGTTGTCCGGGGTGGATCGGATCAAGGCCAAGCGGATTGGGAGGGACCCCATGGGCGAAGGATTTTTGTTCGAAGTCTCCTTACAATGTGTCCAACATCCTCCAATCTTCCAATCTCAACAGAGAGTCATACCCATGACATCCCATGCTATACCCATGCCACATATACCCAGGCCCATGCCATATACCCATTGCCCATTCTATTTTTGTCTTGTCTCCAACGTTTTGGCTGCCCTGCTGGAGGTCTTGAGGAGCCAAAGTTTGCTCTTCTCCCTGGATCTCAGCTGCAACGAGATCACCGACTGTGGTGCGGCGCTGTTGGTGGATGCCTTGGAGGACAACGAGGTGATCTTGGACGCTTGGCGTGCGAAATGGCGGCTGTTAGTGGTTTACTGGTGTGACCGGTGTGGACGCAGGCTCTTTGATTTGCGCCACAGTGAGCTATGGTCGATCATCATGTTTCAACTTAGAGAACATATTTGCCAGAGTTCATGTCTTTCAGGCAAAGATAACAATGAGCGTATGATCTGCCTTTTCCAGGAGTTGTCTCCACTTTCACTGTTTGGAATGTGGATCCCAGTAGCATCAGACCCATGAGAATATGACTAATATGACCATACATTTCATTGTGACCTGATCGTGTTTCACACACATATACTTTATGCAAGGAGGAAGCTCACTTTCATTGTTGAGACCTACCAAGAAACTCCCAACCTCCGCTCCCGTCAAGATAATAGAGCTCCAAAAGAGCAATTTAAATTGAAACTTTTGGATGAACAAGGTAGCATTGAAACACATGGAGGTCACCGAGGTGCAAGACACATGTCTCAGGTTCGCACCGTCTCGCAAAACCCGTGCCGTTCGAAAAACGCGTCCGACCGTCCACCTCGAGGAGCTGAAGATCGAAGGCACCGAGACCAGCGAAGAGATGCGCTACGCCTTGCAGCGGCGCTTGGAGTGGAACCGGAGCAAGTGCCGAGAACGCGCTTGGAGCACGCGCGAGTGGGGAGAGCGGAGCGAGTTGTGTTGACATGTGTTGACCGCCGAGGATGGCGTCTGACCGCTCCGTTCGTAGCGATGCCCTTTGTTGCTGGTAGCGTCCGATCGCTCCTAGTAGTAAGGCCAGGAGCCCCGTTCGCAGCGTCCTTTTAGGGTGGGGCGTCAACATGTGAGACCAGGAGTTGCGTGGGAGGAGCCTTATGGATGGCATATATATATATGGAGCAGACGACGAGTGTTCAACTTGATGGTGAAATATGGATCCTGTTTCTTGTTGTCGTCTCTTCCTTCATTTATGTTACCCTATTGTTTGGAGATTCGGGGGAGAGAAATTGGGGAAATGAATACCTGGGTGAATACTCTTGGCATGTGGTTCATCAAATATGGCTTTGCCCACAAGTCCAGGGCATGTGTGCCATGAGTTGCAAGGGAATGGAAGACTCACTCTTTCTCCCACATGCATTTTCGGGGAGCATCCAAGGAGTGTTCTAAAACTGTGACGCAGGAACCGTTAGGAACCGTTGGGAACTGCTTCCTTCACAGAACGGAGGATCGCTCTGGGTGGCAACATCTCACACTGTTCGAATCTCGGAGATCTCCCAACGGCTTCCAACAGGTGAAGGCTTTTCTAGTCAGCCCGTACGTGTGGCGGTGCGAGGGAAGTATCCAACATCCATGTATAAGGAGACACCATTGGCGCAGCTTTACTGAAATATACGGTTTGAAGAACAAAGGTATAAGCGAAGCAAGTGCCAGAAGCGTGCTCAAGATTGGTCAGAAGGGCTCCTTTGCTGACTAAAGGCCAGAACATCGCAACGTCCAGGGTCCCGGTCGTTCATGACTTCTCCCCAAAAGCAGTCCTGCTCCAACTCGTTTTGGTAAATCGATATGTTCTTCAATCCTCTCAATATAAAGCACCATAGCCATAAGTGATTGAGATCTATCCTATCCCACATATGGGATGAGATAGCACCATGTTCTCCAATCTGGCAGATCTATAGCACCATACCCCATCCCTTTCGTCACTCATGGCTGGGGTACCGGCCTGTCCTGCCTCGTCCCAGGTACCGCGGGGCGCGGCCCATTGAGGAGCTCTTGCGGGGCCTCCGGAAGGCACAGGCGGAAGCGGTCACCAGCCAGGCCGGGGGGGGCATGGAGGGCGTTTGATGATGTACCATGTACTTGGCCCGGTGTACCTTGTCCTTTTCTCTTTATACTGTATATAATGTATAGATGTCCTTAGAATGTCCTTGCCCAGGGCATCTCTTTTTTTCAGATCCACGCCAGGTGCAGATGTCTCACAACCTGGCGGACATCGAAAGCCAAGCACCTCGGGGTGAAACCGCTGTTTGTTTTTTCCGTTGGAGCTTGGCAAGGCCTCTTCAGAGCACAAGAAGATGCATAAATTCCATGATTAAGGGGGAGACTAGACCTGTTTATGCAAGGGTACTGAGGTTTTGACAAGACGTAGTGTTACAAACAAAGAGGAATTAAGTCGCCTTTCAGCCTTCGAACATCCTGATGTTTGCTTTCCTTGTGATATCCTTTCGGGAACCACGTATAATACGACGCCTTCATCTAAGGCTTATAGCCAAGAGGTTCCTTCCAATGAGTCCTTTCCCTCTCTACCGACCACTTTTGTTTGGGAGGTTCAACATATTTATGGGTGGTGGAGGCCATCGCTACTAGGTCGGAGGCCATTGCTTGCTATTGGGTTTCTTTAAAGGCTTCGATGCTGGGAGGTTCAACATGCTTTGGGACCTAATTCGGCTTCGATGGTCTTCGCTGGATGCTTCAGAAGGCTGAAGACGTGAGGAACGTGTCAATCACCGGAGCTGGACGATTCCGGATGCGGATCTGAGGCGCCGAGTGGGGCGACCAGCCGAGTCACAAGTCCACGACCAGGTGCGGGGAAAGGATGAGATATGATTGGATTAATATACCTATAGCCTATAGGTCTTGCAACTGTGCAAGATGTGTGCCTTTTGGTTGCTTTTATTGGCTGGCTTTACTGATGAGAAGGCAGGAATTCTGCACAGTTGGAAGATCAGGTATGCTGAGTATGATGAGATATGATGGGTATGGGTGTTCATGGTATGTTCATGGACCAACTCCCACATTCTGGATTTTGTGCCACCGCGGATGGGAACAGTGGACAGTGATCCTACGATGGTGCCGGAGTGTTTTTCTTTTTCAAGAACGCACACATTGATAAATCCTGGTTTGGATGAGGATGTTCATGAAATTCAAGAACCTTGCCCCCTTTGAGAAGAGAACAGGATGTTGAAATCAGATGACATGGGATTGCATACTATAATAAGTGGTCCACGATGTTTGATGGATCGAAACCCGGCAGGTCCAAGGGAAGCCAGACAGCCTTCCTGAAGATGCCCTAGTAGCTTGATATAGGTTGATAGCTGGAACGCAACACCAGGTATAGACCTATAGTGTCCTTCACTGAAAACGACCAGTGGATGCTCAATTCTTGCCGTGTGGACACCCCCATTGAGGAACTCCCGACAATGGAGGAATGATTCATTAGCAATCCGGGATGATGTGCAAAAGACCCAAACAACATCAAAGTATCTAGCATCAAATAACTCCAGAGGCCAAATCTCCCTTCACTTTGCGATCTTTATGATATTGTTTTTTCTAAGTTTGAGAGGACTTAATTTATCAACATCCAACATCATCCAACCATCCAACCAATTGAACCATCAGTTGCTCAGCCCAACCTTCTCCAACAAAACCACACCGACACCCACACCGCCCGACGGTTCCGCCGACTGCCAAGGCACCGAACGCGAGCCGCGCACGCCCGTGACGCCGGCGGCGGGGAACTTGTCCAGAGGCGAAGGCATCTTTTGCGCTCCCGAGATGGAGGAGACGAAGCGCCGAGCCGCACGGCGCGTTTTGCGCGAGCCGCGTCGCCGCGAGCCGCGAGCCGCGTCCGAGCGCTCGAGCCGAAGAAGCGACCGAGAGACGCGACACGTTGGACGTGGTGTGATGTTTTCCGTTGGTTTGGTCACTGATGTTGGGAGGGTGGGAAGAATTCTATAGCTGGCCATGAAGTGCGCACAATGCACTTGGTGCACACTGAACTTTCAAGTATTTTCTTAAACATGCCTTTTGGGGTTGGTGATGAATGAACACATGTTGGCTATTCGATCATGAGCAGCTAAAAGCAAGTTTAAGCCATGCTTGCTGCGGAAAACTGACTCTGGAAGGACAGACGTTCACGTCCATGAGACTCAATTACAAACACCAGCGAGTCCCGACGCAGCCGCTGCTTCTTTTGTGGAAAGGAGGAGGAAGAGGCTGAGCCAACACCGGAGCAACAGATGGCAGACTTGGCGCCATGGACACATATTGGAGGTTTTTCTTTTTTTTGGGGTGGTAGGCCGCCAGTAACTAGCTAGGTAGTAGAAGAGGTAGCTAGTAGCTAGCTAGTAGCTACTGTACTACTTAGGACTCAGGATAGCTCACGCTCGCACTAATGATTCGCTTCTTCCTCTGGGGTTTGGTGGACGTTTGGAGATGTCTCGAACCTTCTGAGTCCCTCGCATGACTTGCTGGTGAAGATATAGCATAGATCCAATGAACACAGGGGCGTGTGGATCTAGTCAAGGAAGGAACTCAAACTAGGAGGAAGTGAGTCAATGTAAACATTGAAACAACATGAAGCAGGGACGGATTGAGATAGTGACAACAATCTGAGCAATGAAGAAGGTCCGTGAGATTGAGGAACATCATTTCGCTCAAGACCACTGCGGGTTAGGTTCACACAACTCTAAGATCTCAGGGTTGGCCTTTGAACTCATTGAATCACTGGGAGAGCAGAGAGGGGTTTTAATTGAGTCTCCTTCGGATGGTATCCTACACTCCTTGCACAAAACCGATGGAAGTGGATGGCATGGCCCCAAAAGGATCACGAAATCCGAAGACCAAACAAGTGGTCTTCACTGCACTTCCACGTGACTCTGACCTGCTTCTTCCAAGTGACGAACATTTGCATCCCAATTTGAGGTCACCAACGGGCCTGCAAAAGGTCACTTAGACTTAGGGACTCCAAAAAGGTCACTCACTCGTTGCAGAAACACGATGAAGGCAGCTCGACACTCCCAAGGTCTGGTTCGATGCTGGTGACGGCCGGCAGCTTCTGGCGGAGTTGAACCTCCGCTGCGAGGCAGGCTGGCGCTACAGCGCCGCCGACCAGGAGGAGCCGGGACGGGTGGATAGGGGAAGTGTTGAGCTGTGTTGGTTATTGTGGTTTTGTTTCAAGATTCAAAGTTCTTGTCATAGTTCATACCCAAAGATTGTTTGATGTAAGATTGGCATCCCATAGGAGAAGTAGCAAGACAGAACGCAACCAGTCGCAGAAGAAGCATAGCACCACAACAGCACTGACAAAACAAATTAACAAGTTACACTAAAACCGGAGAGGGGATATGATTGAAGAAAACCTGTGATTGGGTTCTGACTTGTTTGGATTGGACAAAGCGCAAATTGAGGCTTGCATCCTATCATCACCTGTTTAACATCACGCAGAGACTCTCATTCGGACGTAGATAGAACTTGCCATAGTTCAGTAGGTCAGGTCCATAGACTGTTTGGACTGACCGGCTCTTTTCTTTCAGGATGCTTAAGAATCCAAGATGACCCAGAACCACCATATTTGTTCTAGAAATTCAGAATCTCATGTTGTCTTCTTGATGTTCTTCAGCTTCTGAAGGAGATGGTGGCTTTCCGAGAGATGATCAAGGCAGTTCCGCGTTGGGCTGGGATCACAGACGCACAGACCTAGTTGATTGAACATGATTGACACATGTTGAATTTGAAGCACGCAAACCCCGGCGCCGCAGCACATCAGATCTGCCGCCGTTTCTCGTTTTGCACTTTCCAATTACCTCATGTCACACACATGGCTGTGTTGGACTCCATGCTGCAAACGAGAAACCACACGAGAAACCATGGTTGTGAATTTCATTTCTCAACACCCAAAACCACGTCCCCACCGCTCCTTCCACCCACCGCTCCCTCCCCACGGATCACCCACCGAGCACGGCCAGCGCCAGTCGCGCGAGCGCTGGCCGCCAGGAGCTGCAGGCACTCCGTGTGCGCGAGCGGCGCCGCCACGAGGAGGCCGATCGGCGCCTGGCCGCGGCGGCGCAGCGCTTCAATGCGCAGCTCGGAATCGGCGAAGCGTTGGGCGCGCGGATCGGTTGGAGGGAAGGGGTTTCAATGGAGTTTTGAAGGTCAATTCCGAAATCCAGCCACACCATGATCTAGTACTATCTATGATATTCTAGTTTGAAGCACCAGGATTTGGGGGACCAGATTCCCCAGAAGGTTTTGACACGAGCAGCTGGCCGTCGTAACGCGTGCTCGTTGTGTTCGTGTTGCCCGGTGTCGCGCAGTGTGTCGTGCTAAGGTTGGCATCTCCGTGGGAGACACGCATCTTCGAGATCAAGCAACAGACACTTGGAGTGTCTGGAAAGCTACTGCAGTTGGAGCTGTTCATTCTTTGAGAGATGAAAAGAGTGTGTTCAGTCTATACAAATCCCAGAACGAAAGAAGAGTGACGGGGTTCAGAGGTAGGTGCAAGCTGCTGCAAGCTCCAAAGCTGCCTTTTAATTGTTGCTGGGCATCCAAAACATCCGTACATGTACTTTAGTCACGAGCGGCCTTAAGTCTTTCCGAGCTGATCAAAACCTTGCAAGACCGATAGGGGCCAACCCTATACCCGATACCCGTTCTTGACAGCTTAGCGCATTGCCATACATTGCCTGCATTCCAAAACACTGGACACCGGGGCCAACCCAAAATTCTTTTTGGTTTCGTATGACAACATGGCAAATATCGGCTAACCAGACCTCAACAAGATTGGCAACAAGCTCCATGGGGGCTTGCATGGAGGAGGATTGCAACTTTGCTTCAGACAAGACTGTGAAGCCAATGACGTTGAGGAGCGTGAATCCACAAGTAGTTTTCTGGGTTGTGGATTGGCAAGCGAAGGGACAAGAATGATACAACCACAGGTGAGTGATCTTTGTCTGGCTTGAAGTACTTACCATGTTCTGGTTCTGTACATCGTACTGACTTCAAGAAGGACTCCTTGGTTTTGCGCATTTGTTCCTGCAGTTCAAATACTAGCACTCTAGTGTTTGTACTATAACATGTTTCCTTACAGAATTTACAACAACATGAGCAAAACCAGTCAAAGACCGGTGGAATTTCCTCAGCTTCACGTCGTCCAGATCCCGCCTTTCAGGATCGAAGACCTGGGTGCAGAGGTCAAGGTTTGCTACGAGCAGAAGATGACGAAGCAGGCCGAACGATGACGAAGGGAAAGCAACGGCAACTCGTGACGTCCGGGGGAAAGAGCACGGGACGACACGGGTCTTCGGTCTAAGCGCGTGGAGCTGTGACAAGTTTGAGAAGTTCACTTCCCTCTCCCGCTGATGTTTCGGGGCGGACTCTTTGTTCCTCACATTGTCTTGAAGTGATTCTTGATCGGGCTATCCTCAGTGAAGCAGGTAGGCGGCCATCGGCAGCGATTCGTCCACTTGGACTAATTGTGGAAGCTCACTTTTGCTGGATGAGAAAACCAGGAACCCAGGCTCCTCGTCTCCTCCATCCTGGGAATGGCAGTGAGAGAGAGAGAGAGAGAGAGCTAAGATAGCTAGTTAGTTCATAGTCTAGTTCATGCCAGTTCACCGAATTTCAGGGGCAATCAGTAATCCAAAGTTCATTTTGCTGAGCTCTCGTTGTGATCCTCAAACCCCTATTGATGTGCTGATCCCACGTGCTGACGACCTCGAACCACACCAGAGGCGGAGCTGGAAAGCGTTCAGAAGGAGTTGGATGTGGAGCAGGACGCCTTTTGCGCACTTGTGTGCGGGTGCCCTCGTTCAAGTGCAGGGTCGTTTCCATACACTTCATAGACCACTGTGGATAATTTTGGTCGCAGAGGTTCTTGATGTTTCTTGATACAATATGATACAATTTAATACCGCACAAGTAGGAATTGCAACGTGCGATCACAGACCATCCAGTGCGATCACAGACCTCCAAGCCAGAACAAGACCTCAGATCATGGCAAACAGCTCAAGTCTTTCTGGCTTTATCTCTTTCATGAAGAAACGCCCACCATGTCTCTGAAGAAAGGTGGATACATGCGAAGAAGCTTCTAATGTAGGTACTGGTAAACCATAACGGCTCAACTGTCATTGACCTACTTTGGGGTGGTACACCTGAGTTTTTACACCATCTCATACTCCAAACACAGCAGGTGCGCAGTGCGCCACCCCGGCAGGAAGAGCTGGCGGAGACGAAGCTGGGCTTTCAGCGGGTGAATAGCGCCCTGAAACTGAGGCGAGACGAATGGGCGACCATGGGCAGACCTGGCAGACGACGGGTGAAGTTGTTGGGCACTCTGGAAGTGAATCAGCAATCCTGGGCGGCTTCATCAGTTGCTTTCTCCAACTGCTGGTCAGTGTAAGTGTAGCTGAATCGCTCGTGTTGCCATACATTGAGAACACAACAGATATCTACAGCAAAGCACTCGCTTGTGTTACTTAGACGTTCATGTACTTAGAAGATCCTCAAACGTTTCACATGGCAACATTGGATGAATTCACATGCCAGGCACCAGGAAATCGCAGAGAAGGTGCAGGCGCGGCAGAAGCTGATGATAGGCCATGAAGGGGCCGTAAAGAATTTGGAGCAATCCTAATGTTTTTTTTTTCTGTACCGACAGGGCTCAGGAGTCATTTGTCTTAAAAACCTCGCAGCGGCTCGCAGTTTGCTGAACTTGCTAGATCCTTCATCACGCATTTAACCCTTCAATTCTCACATCTGAGAATGTCTTCCTGCATCTTCCTGCTCCCTCCCCGGACTCCTCCCGGACTCTAAGGCCATGCGCCGGGAGCAGAATCTCGTCGAGGGTGCCATCGAAGCGCTCTTGGCCGACAACGAGAGGCGCCGCTGTAGCTGGGTGCAGCTGTGCATGTCCCGTGCCCAGTGGTGCCAAAACACCAACCACACTACACTATAGTTGATGATCAAGATAAGAACAATGAGAGATGCCGCATGCCAGTATCATCCATCAGCAAACTTCCATCATCCGCCATGCATCATTAAACAAAAAACACAACAGCTGGCTTTTTGCAAACAAATGTTCATGAATCATCACTGGATCCTTCGGCCCTATAGTGAACCCCGATCCTGCGGCTCCACCAGCTGGGTGGCTTGCGCCAGGTGCCGGCGATGCCTCCACGCCATCCGTTTCGAGACGGAGACGGAACGCTTCGTCGGCGGACACAGCCAGCGGTCGAGCAGGGCACGTGGTGGTAGGGTTTGTGGGTGAAGAGATCGGTGGGGAAGGTGTGTGATATTGTGTGATGCTGCGTGAGACCAAGGGAAAGTCCTTGGGAATTTCCAGAGAGTTGCACCAAACCAACGAGCCAAAAACGACGTAGTCTTATGGGGAAGGACTCTTGCCAGAACGGAGGGGTGAGTGATGGTTGGGACGGATCTCAACAGCTAATTTTCGGGAGACTAGATCGAGTTATTAGGTTTGTAGATGTTTGTAGTGTCTGACGAGGCGTGGATTTGGACAAGCGATGACACATGTCGTGTGTTTCATGGTGATGTGTGATCTGACTTTGGTCGAGCTGGGCCGGCTGGCAAACGACTGCTGGAAGTCAGTTGCGTCAGCAGAAGTATATAGATGTTGGATAATCCCCCTTGATGGGAGTCGAACTCCGCTTTTCCAGCGGTCTCAACTTGCCTTGAAGTTTGTTCTTCCCGTACTGGTGGGCCTGCGGGTTCAAATCCAGATGTTGGCGCCAGGTTTTGTTTCTAGTATCGTTTGCTTTCGACCCGAAAAACAGGTTTCGATTTGTTTGTTGTGTTGGAGGATGCGTTTAGTTTGAAAACGAGCGGTTGCCCGCTCAGGTGCCTCATGCCACATTGGAACGCCTTCAGCAAGATCCTGTGGTGAACAGCAAGTGAAGTGTTTTCAGCAAATATGATGGGAACGCAATCAGCATCTTCAATCACATGGGGGTCACAACCAGAAGATATGTTTGTCTCGAAGCAAGCATTCTCAGATAGCTTAGCACAAGTTTGAATGTTCCCGATGTTCACATGTTTTCCTCATGGCAAATTCTCGCACATCGATTGGCCAGCTTTTTTGTTCCAGAGGCTTGTTGACGGTTTCACTGGTCTTGGCTGTGCAAACACTGCCTCCGAGATGTTCAAGACACGTCCTGGTGTCAAAAAGGGAAGTCAAACAAGACAAGCCCGGATGGCTATATACTCCACATAGCAGCAGCTAGGTGATTGTGTGCCTTGGAGGTGGACATTGGATATGCTTGGATCCTTCGAGCAACTCCATCCACAAGTGTCCAGTCTCCAGTCCCAATAGACATCAATGTCTCAGTTCCTGTCCCACAACCTCTAACCAATTATGTTTTGATGCCAGAGATGGTCGAGGGTCATGTAGCAGCAGTGGCTTGTTGCTGTGTCTAACTGCAGTAACTCCAGCAATATCATGGCCGGTTTTTGCAAAGTTCTCTTTTTGCCAGGCCCAGGTTCTTGGAAGAAACTTCTGAGAAGTGCAGAAAGTTGAATCAAGCTTGCTGCCAAACGGCTGGATCAAGCTTCGACATGGGAAGGGCCCACCATATCTTGTCACGGGCCCATGTCATGTGTCCTAACAGATCGTCAAGATGTCAACATGAGAGCAGGGAGTGACGTGCATGGAAGCTCCTTGACTCCTTGACGCCAAGATGTGAAGACGCAGTTAGCGATGATGTTTGTGCCGCAATGAAAAGCCAGACTGAAATCCTTCTGAGGGCCCCACAAGACCTTTGAGCTCTCTTCCTTAGCCAAGCTCGTAGTACCTCAAGCTTTGCACATTCCAACCCGCAACGAAGAACGCTTTGACCCCAGCTTCGCCCCAAGTTGGGCCACCAAACAACCATAAAAGGACTCCACACCTCCCCTACTCCAACCACTCACCCCAATCAATTACCTCCCTGAAAAGCACCGGCTTTTCCACGCGTCCGCTTTTCGTCCGGTCCCGCTGTGCTCTGTCGGTCGACCCATGGGGCGCCATGAGTCTCTTGGACGCGCAGCGGGCGCGGCGGAAAGCACTGGAGCAGCGGAAGCACTTGGGCGCTTCCGAGGAGCGAAGGGGAAGCGAAGCGACGGCCTCCAAGCTAAGAGCCTTAATGGCGTACGCCACCTTTGCTAATGCCCTTGTCACTCGTAGCTTCTTGTTACATCTTGTTACTAGTACTAAGGCCAGGAGCTACTAGTAGCGTCCTTGCTCCTAGTAGCGATGCCCTTGTCACTAGTAGCATAAGGAACCTAATAGAGTTGGCCTCCAAGCTACTTGCGATGGCCTCCAACCTAATAGCGATGGCGCGCCAAGATGACGAAGAAAGAACGGCCATGGATGCTTGTCCCAGCTCCCAAATGACATATCACACAGACGCGACCGCCGCGACCGCAGAAAATGACATGGATCGCAAAAAAGAGGCACCGCTCTTTTTAGCCAAACGCGCAGGTGGTGCGAGAACTCCGACATGGTGTCCAACAAAAGGGCCTGCGTGGAGATGCCAATGTGGAGGTGCTTGGAGAAGTGCGTTCATGGTTGGATTGTTCGAGTAGAGGTGGAACTGGCTGTGGTACGTGGTTGTGTTGGAGAATACCAGGGATGAAGAGCCATCAATGCGGGTCGCGTGTTTAGCCTGAGTAGAGAATGCCAGGCGGTAAATACGTTGATTGTTTGCTCTCAACCACTCCATTATCCATGGACAATGCATAATAATTTAGAGTATATGGATAAAACTCTCAATGTATATGGACTATCCATATATGATGTGTCCAAAGAATGCATGGATACTAATGCATGGTATGAGTTTTATCCATTCTTTGCGAAGAGGATTTGCGACGTCCGAAATCCGAGTACGTATATCTACTCCCTACCCAGTCCAGTGTGATAAAACCTTTAACTTCAACGTTTAAGCCAGTTCTGTTTAATCTGGATTGGTTTCCCCACTGAAATCCCAGGTGGAAAGCTTGCCATGTGCCATTTCTTGGCCACGGAAACCCCCCCGCGGCTCGTTGTGGTCCACCACGACCGCTTAACGACTCCCACCTCCGCGTGGGCGAACGGACCCTCTACAGGCCGATGGCGGCCGTCTCCCAACGACTGCTCCGGCGGCCTCGGCGGCCTCCTCCACAGGTCCGGGCGAAGGGCGCCGGGCGAAGGGGGAAGGGGAGCGTTGCTGGGAAAAGCTTCCCGAGGTTTTGGACATGTGTCTTTTGGATTCGTCATCTTGGCTGTTGATAAGTTGATCATAATAACATATCTGACATGTCTTATATTCATATATTGATATGTCATATGTCATTATCATATCATAGCATGAGATAGCATGAGGACAAGGTTGGGTATAGTTCCAGGTTCATTCACTTTCATTTTCCTGTGTGTTTTTGCCTCAGATCGCTTGGGTTCGAGAAGATGAGAAGATGCGATGACCTCAATCTGGAAGAGACCCCAACTTGCCATTGAAAGGCATGCGGCAAGCATGTAGAGATCAGACTAGACTAGACTAGCCCCTTTAATTAGTCTTGTATCGAAAAATATTCAACAACTCCCACATGCTCCCTATTCCAACCCACACTTACAAATCACCCAAGCCCGCCAAAGATCACTTCCGGACTGCCTATCGCGCCCCACACAACAATATACACAAAGAATTCACAATCTGACAATTGCACCAGCATCAGAAAGAAGAATAACTAGATAAAACTATGCCCTTCCTGAATAGACAAAACACATTTTAAAGGAGCATCAAAATCTCTGATCCAATCCACCCGACCGCCCCTCCGCCAGGCTTCAAGCGCCGTGAGGACGCCACAGAGGTGGCGGCACAGCGCGCCGAGGATGTCCACGGGCGCCTGGGAGAGCGGAGAACAGGAACGGGGGCGGAGGGGATGGACTCTTTTGAAAGAAGGTGACTACATGACATACAAACCATGTTTTTTGTTTGCAAGGTGTTCTTTTTCCCCACATCTCTGTGTGGGGTTCTAGTTTTTT